TTGTTGAGACAATTGGAATTGGAATACCATGAGAGATAAAATTAATGTCTACCCCTCCCTCCGCCCCCCTTCCCACCTACTGATCTCGGAAAGGAATTTCACAGGAAAGTCATAGTTTGTACAAATCAGTTCATTTCGGTGAGACTTTTCATTAGAATACCATGAAGCGTAGAACGTGTGTTCGCCCCCTCCCCCCTCCCAATTTTTAAACATTGTACTTGGCACCGCTAATTCTTAGACCAGTTGGTTGGCACATGTAAAAGTTATGCACGTTTTACATTCAACAATAGCATCTGTGGAAATAATTCATGGGGGGGGGGGACTTGAGACAGCGAAATTTGGCACAATTTGCGCTTACTGTCTGAGCAATAAACCAATTGATAATTGAAGAAACCCACGGCTTCTTAGACGGAGAAGCTCTGTGCCTTTTTGCCTAATTGCCGCTCAATATCTCAAATTGCTAATTGCTTCAAAGTGGGCGCATAATTCTTATTGACAATAAAAGAAAAGGGCAAAATTTGTAGAATATTTTAATATCCTTAATTTTTGTTCCTCCTTGATCTTTGTTTTTAGAATGCTCTAAAAATATTATTTTGGATCTCACTATATTAATGGCCTTTCCTCAATTCAGATACATCTCCGGAACTCTCTCAAGGAATCCGCAGTTCTTTTCGAATTTTTGACATTTTTGACATTTTCTCTAACACTTCTATGGACTTTGTTTAAACAATGAAAAATGTAAATAATTTGCTGTACAGAGTATGACGATGAAATGATAGCAAAAAATTAGGTGGGGCGCCAGACCAAATCAAAATCAAGGTCGAAAATGTTTCTCCACCAAAAATATCAAAATCCTATAACGGTAGCTCCTACTTTGGATCTCATTTTTTAGAAAGCAGGAAAATTTAGATTTGTGTCAAGGTTCGCACTTATCTTTGTTCTGCGTATTTGAATTCTGCTCCGAACCACAGAATAAGGATCAAGTGGCATCTGTATTACGGTCACCTTAGCTTTCATTGAAGTCGCAGGACAGGTACGAAAGAAACGAATCAATGATTAAATATGGCCGTTTTCAACGCCGTTTGCAACCGTTCCCGTTGGAATATTTAAATTGTTTTTACAGTCGCCGAAAGCTTTCTGGCCAGGGAGGAAAAGACAAAATCGATCTTCTTCAGTTTTAGGTCCGTTAATTACCCATTAATAGACTGCAATTTTCACATAGTATACGAAAATACAGCGTTAAACCGACAAAGTCGTGCAGTTTACGGAAATATCAACGTGATAGGAAACCCCGCAATTTGCCCTTACATTCCAATGAACGGGATTGTCAAATTTGGAGATTTCAATCCGACTATTTGGACAAGCATAACTAACCGTAATTATTTGAAAGAATTACAGTGATAACCTCTGATTAAGTCGAGATTACATCCGTCAGGTGCGCTCTTAAAAATTTGAATTTTGACACCGGTCCCGAATATTTTGGGGGTTTTACCGAAAAGTAAGTTTAACCCAAAGGTAAAATCTTTTGCACTTTTTTACATCTTTTTGTCTTTGGTGTTCCACCGTATCCGTAATCTTTTGGTTTCTGCCTTTTGCGTCTTTGAAAACTACGTTTTGTAAGTGCCGTATTAAATTTGGAGCCTTTCCGTAAATTTATTTTACCCAAAATCGTCCTGAAACCTTCATTTTCATGCCTACTTTCCGTCAGGAAATTTCAGTTTCCATGACAGAGGCAGAGCACCTGTCTCTTTACCGGCCGCGCCGTCACTTTACCGGTCGCATTTTTGACATTTCCAAATGTCTATAATGACTCCTGCATCACTGACAGATTGACCATAATCAAAAGTTCTATATAAAAACTGAAATTTTACATTAAAATACGATTTCGGATAAAATTTAATACAACACTCGTCAGTAAAATGACATTACCTGACTCGGAAATTAAAGTACTCGACCCCAAAGGGGCCTCGCCCTTATATGTAGATAACTATTACCCAAAATCGTCCTGTATGCTTTAATTTTCATGCCTACTTTCTGTCAGGAAATTGTAGTTTCTGTGATAGAGGCAGAGCAGACTATGTTTCCGGCAACTTGTCATTTTACTGGCCGCACTGTCACTTTTACGGCCGCACCGTCACTTTACCGGACGCATTTGTGACATTTCCAACTGTCTATAATGACTCATGTCATCACTGACAGATTGATATTAATCAAAAGTTCTATATGAAAATTGAAATGTTATATTAAAATGCGATTTCGGGTAAAATTTAATACAAAACTCGTCAGTAGAATGACATTACCTGACTCGGAAATTAAAGTACTCGGCCCCAAAGGGGCCTTGTACTTCAATATTTCCTCGCCAGTAATGTATCATTTTACTGACTTTTATGTAAATAACTATTGCATTCAAGCCGTCTTTTACATTAAGTTTGCCGCGCCGCCGTATCTATAGCTTTTGCTTTTTCTCTCTCCGTTTCATTGCAAGGTAAACTCTTTTGGTACTTTTTGTTCCATTAATTATAAGGGGGAATATCGTTCCGTTTTCCTGCAATTGCTTTCCCGTAGAAACAGCTACCAAATCCGATTATTTACTATTCTCGCTTAGGGAGATTGCTTTTGAAGCTGTTTTAGCACCCACCAGTAGCCGCCCAGCGCTTGTTCGTTAGAATACCTGGGATCGCCGCCCGTTCTCTATTCGAGTTGCCTGGAGCTTACCATCGCCGACCGCCATCTTGTCCAGAGGCAAGAGAGACCGAAATCTTCCGGTGGTGCCCGAAACACTTCCGTTTCGCTGTTTACAGATTTTGACTTGTAAATTACCGCTGGATGTTCCATTTTCTTACCGCCATTGTGCTAATTATACGGTTTATATTTAGCGCATTTTTGGAAAAATAATGTGGCAATAAAACTTTACTTGCCTACAATCCACAAACACAGAGATTAACCGTTCAAAAAACTACGTTCAGTAGAGTCTACAGACTACACTCTACAGACCACAGTCTACTGGGGGCTATAACCCCCCCCCCCCCCTTCCAACACTTAGGAAAAGAGGATTGGATTGCTTTTTCCCAAATATGATCATGACATTCCTGAAATTGGCGGTCTTATGGGGATCTGAGGAGAGGGGGCGCCTCTTTGCTTTTAATATAATTTTTCGGGAAATTGTTATAGATCTTCCTTTGCTGGGGGGTGTTCCATTCATAGAGGATCTTTTTTCCCAAATCTGATCATAAGATTCCTGAAGGTTGAACTTTTATGAGGGGGTCTGGGGGGTATGGCATAGACCATATACCTCTAGCATATTATACGACAGTTCAGTTGCAACTTCCAGAAAAGTGCCGTGGGATTAAGCTTGGGGGAGGAATTATCGAGCCGTTCCCTACCTTTGATATAATTTTTGGGAATCGAATCTTCCTTTGCGGGAGAGTATTCCATATCCCAGACCTCCCGCTGCTATTTTCTCTGCAATACTTTCTAAAAGAAGAGGATCATATTTCGATATTAAGTTAAGGTAGTTTTCAGTAGACCGTGGCCACGAAAATTAATCTATTTAGATGTAAATTGGAGCTATTTCATTACTTTTTCTCATCAATGTATCCAGAATTGTATGCCCATTTTGTGTTTATAATTTTACGGGTAAGCAATTTTAGAAACGCAGTCAATTTTCAGGAAAGGGGAAATTTTCAGTAATCACGTCCCCGTAAAATTGCTAGCCGTGGACCTGATGAAAAATTTGTTGCTAGAAAATTCCAAGATGACCTCGAAAAGTCAGCCCCTTAATATGCAAACCCGTTGCAATACCCAACCAGAACCAGAATTTCTTTGAATTTGTAAAAACCCCACTTTTAACATATTTCATCATTTCTAGCTACTTTACATACTTTTCCATAGTCTCCATTGCTTTCTTTTCGTTAAAATTTTTTTGGTTAATCCCAATTTTGAATTACCTACTCACTTCATTTAAGTATTCTCATACCGCCCAAGTTACGTTTGATTTATAAATCCGGATCACCTTTCATGAATTCGGCATGGTTTTCAGATTTCTGGAAAACTTCTGTCTGTTAAGAACAACAAAAATTCTCTGAAAATGTTAGTTTGCGTTTAGACTAAACATTGAGGTCTGTCTGTAATACAATGGAGCAAAGTAGACAAATATCGACCAAATTTGAGGGCGTCATATGTTCACCTCCACAAGACATCGACTGATGTGGCTAACTATACGGGGCGGAACTGTTGTCTGGCACACTGCAGATATCTTCACAACTACCATTTAAGCAAAGAAGTTTCTTATGGCATCCAAAATTACAAAAAGATTGTTATCAATCTACGTACTTTAGATTTGTAATCACTGGCGTACTTCTGCATGTTCAAGAGGGTATATTTTTTAATGGGGACTACTAGTTTTCATTAGATATTATTAAAGGGTACACTTTTTTGGATAAAATGTGTGCACTTGCAGAATATGTAATAAAAAATAGTGGTTTATGCTCCCCTTAGCTCTGTAGACGTACGCCACTGATCACAATTTTAAAGTATGTAGATTGGTGGCAGACTTTTATTTTTGAATGCCATAAAAAACTTGTTTTGGTGTTCCACCCTGTATATTTGGCAATAACTTGTTATAAGGAATGATTTATAACACACACAACATTGGTATTGTTGCAAAATAGCTTTAACTGAACTAATTCAAAGGAATCAATTGTAATTTCATCCCATTTGACACCAAAAATAATGAATTGGCAACGTAATATCTTAACATGCGATAACGTTCAACACAATCCATTCAAAACAATTGTGTAATCATAGCCACCCCTAAATTTATAATCCTAAGAGATAAAATCAACTGTATATGTGTTAGGGGCAGATTTGACACATTTAATTTGACCGGTAGTCCCACGAGTGCTGTCCATTACTGCATATCAGTAACCCCCACACTTTTCGATTAAGTAAAACAGATGCGATTCAACGGGGAGGGAAATAACAAAACAAAAAGGGCTTACCTATTTATTGACGAGACACTAGGTACGTTATCTTGAGAGCAAATTCCTTCGGCGAGCAATCTGTCGCGTATCTCCCAGGCAAACATGGTAGGATTTTCCCTTTTGTAATTCGCGATTGCGTCGACTACAGGTGGCGTCGCTACTTTTGGTTTCGATCCGCCGATTACGCCCGCTTTAAAGCTACCGGTCTCGTAATATCTGCAAAAGAAAAAGAAATCGATCGTGAGCATATAAAGAGAGACTTTCCGCACAAATTTCCCCCCAATTTTTTTTTAGCATTTACCCCTCGCTCGATGCAGTCCTGTCATAGTCTAACATCAAACAGTAGAGCCAGACGCGAGCGACGGCTATATGCAGTTTTCATGTCGTTTTTTGGGGCCACGTGTCGCTCTATTCACTATATTGAAGTAGAGCACTCTAAAGTAATACTCTTCTAATAGAATTAAGTGCTTACAATTGTTGTTTTGGTGTTTTTGTGGCTTTGTCAACAGAATTATAGATGTTGTGCTTTATGACATTCGCTTTTAGGCGATTAAGTACGTCAATAACTTTTTTTTTGTTATTCAAATTAAACGCAACCCTTAAAGCGTAGGGCGCACTCCCACTAATGAGCGAAACTTTCTAAAGTTGGAATCTTAAAGAACCTCGCACAAGGGCGCTAGACATGAAAAATGGCAACGCACTGCAATTTCTCATCGTCAGACTAGCTCTCAGACACTCAATTCTCAAATTAAATTCTGTCAACAATTTTTACATTAACATCGTTTTTCGTTGACTGCTTGCAGATATATACACACTTTGAGAGATCCGCTACTTTTCAAAGGGATTTTTCAACACATTTCTGTCAAGATATTGAAAATTCTTTAGTCTTAGCAACTTTCGGACATGAAAACTCTATCTGAATCACACTTTGGATTCGAATAAATGCAATTAATTGATTGGTAATGACAAAAATTGATTCCGAAACACGAGAAAGAACTAAAACAAGCCTGTTTGAACATATTACCCCGCACGCAGGCGGGCAACAATTAAAATAAAAAAATCGTAAATAACTTTTAATAAAAAAGGAATTTGAACGAAATGCCTCGCTGTACTACAAACTGCTTTCTCTCCAACTTCTCGCACAACTTGGGGTAACCTGCTTCTGCACAGATTATTATAAAAAAACGCCTTCAACTTACAAATTTCGCGTTTAACCGTCGCGAAACCATCGGTCACTTTTTTACGTTCATTCCAGTATTTAAAGGACTACCACGTCCATTACAGCATAATCTCCTTTAACAAAAATTCAAAAACCTCACCACTCACCATTAGCGTAATGACGGAACGCGCCAAACGTCTCCACTTCTCCATATGAAGCGCGCAAGTTTTCGTAACACCTTATCTCTTATCAGCGAAAGAACACGTGCGTTAATTAAATTTCGCTTGATAAAAGCACTACTTATCGCAAACGAATAAATAAAAACCTTTTATAAAGTACGCAAAATTGACCAGATGTGTCTTACTTGTAGCACCTTATCTAAATTGAACAAATTACAAAAACGATAAAATTAAAACGAAAACTACGCAACTAACTTTGTAAATTAGTAAAACCTTTAGCTAGATATCCCAGAGATTTTTCGGAGAGTGTGGAATTCTTCATAGAATCTTCGGTGATTCTGTGGAGAATCTCTACAGGGTGGGACCGACTATTCGGAACCTTGATTCAATGGTCAAGCCGTCTTGTTTGGAACTTAGTCTTCCATAAATTCCTCTAGAAATCTCGCTTGGTTCTCTGAAGGATTACTGATGAGTCTATGGAGAATCAAAACAGTCCCTGAAGAACTATATTGAAGAATCATTAATGAATCAATCACGAATTTGTGAATGAAATCCAATCCAATGGGCCTCTTCAAAGGTGGAAACCTTTTCCGAATAGCTTTTGAGGAACCTCTAAAAGACTCTTGAATATTTAGGCACTAAAAATACTTTATAAAATAACAGAAAAATCATTGAGGAGTTCCCAAATAACTTACTCCTATAGAGATCAAACGAGATCTTCCTAATTTACCTAAAATATCTTTCAAGGATCAAGGTACATCTTATAAAAAACGTGTGAACAGTCTTCGCGCCAAAAATATAACTAAATAGTCATAATACCTATTCTAAAAAGTTGAGTAATTCAAAAAGCATAGGTAATAGCACAAGAAGTAGCACAAAATCGAGGAGATAGCACAAGTTTAGGCGCGAAATTGGAGTCCGATTACAAATAGCAACGAATAGCAACAACTAAAAGTGACAAAAATGTGTAATACGGCCCAAAAAGGGAATAAAATTCAAGCATAAAGAAATTCGGGTGCTGCAACATGGTATATACGCTGGAAGTGCAATATCACAAAAATTATAAGAGAACAAAGTGTGCCAAAAGTAGCACAAAATAACACAAATTGAGTTCAATTCTACAATATTATAGGGGCGAACTAGGCACAAATTATGGATCGAGAACGGTCTGTCGTTCTATCTGTCCCTGTCCGATTTTACTGAGCACTGCGGGTTTAAAATTGCTATTGTACCGGGTGACCCAATAAGACTGTTCCTCGGCCATATCTCGGGAACAGTTCGTCGTATGACTGAGGGGTAAAAAAATTATTGGGTAAATCGGTGGCAAGAAGAATCGCTGGAAAATATTTTCAAGGTCTAAAAATGACCACCAGAGGGCGTAGCTGCCATCTTAAATTTTAAAATTGCATTTTCTTTAAATTTGGCATAATAAACTAAAATGTTTTTTTCACAATTTCAAAGAGAACCAGTTTATCTATTATTTTCGTAAAAAAACTCAGTTAATTCAAAAACAAAGATGGTGTGGGGCATTCAATTGTTTTTGCAATAACCTGCTTTAACTTCTTAACGGTTTCATCGATTTTACCTAATTTAGAATCGTTGAAAAGAGCATTCCTTGGGAAATAAGAATGAATGAAAATATAGTTAATTTAATTGAACCCTATTCCGCCAGGGGGCTAGTTTTGACACCATGACTCAAAATTAAAAAAATCAAAAAAATCAAATAGAATGATCTGACTTTTTCTTTACGAAAAAGTAGCCAAATAACATCCAAAGAGGCCAGTGAAAACCTCAAATATTGGGAAAATGAGATTAATGGATCTTTGAAGGTCAAGGATCGCGCGGTAAATTTGCTAAAACTACTCAAAATTTAGCTACAAAATGAATAAGGTGTTGAAGAGGCAATTGTGAGTCTAAAAAATATAAGTACATAATTAGAAAATATATATCCCCCAGGTGGTCATTTTAAACTTGAAAGTATTTTCAAGCGATTCTTCATCACCGATTTACCCAATAATTTGTTCTACCCCGAACGGTTCCCGAGAACACTTTTATTGGGTCACCCGGTACGTGTAGAAAATCACGTTTTAGGCAATCGGGCGTTTGCAGACCTATTTAGAGCTTTCGTTTTTCTTCTTCTCTCTCTCTCTCTCTTTTACGTTTTCTATTTTTAGCGTGTTTTTGAAAAAAAGTAGCGCTTATATACGAGTATTCAATTTGGCTGTTTCGTCGGCCGGTCTGTCGGTAAGTCAGTGGCAAGTCGCCCTTGGTGAGTTGTGGCGTACCTATTTCCATATACTACAGAAGATACAAAGGAAAGGGTCATTCCGGAGGTTATTCAGGGATTTATATGGAATTTATGGGTTTCTTTTGGAATTCATGGAATTCTTTTGGAACTCATGGACTTTTTTTGGAATTCATGGAATTCTTTTGAAATTCTTTTGGAATTCTAAGCATTTTTACAAGTCCCAGATATGGCTCACTTTAAATTGATATTTTTATATAATTACTTGGAATTCATTCAACATTTTTGAAGTGAGGTTTTCTTATCGTCTGGTATGTTTCGCACGGGAATTCATCTCATTCGTTACAAGACGCTCCGTCACGAGACAATTCAAGTTTGAACGAAAATATTGCATTAAAATTATCGACGTTTCTTTAAAATCGACCAATATACACCATTAAAGCATAATTTCGTGCATTTTTTTCATTGCAAAAATGTAAAACAAATCCTGTTAGTTATTGAGGTAGCGATCCAATCCAATCCGAGTCAAATGATTCCACAAATTTTTAAATACTTCATGTAAATGGTTGCATGCGAGCATAGCCAAAGAAATTATGAATTTGTAATGCAACGAGGCGCGGCGGCGCAGCAGCTGCAGGTGAAACTATAACATAAATATAAGATAAACCGTAAACTTTCTACCATGTCCCATGATGGCATCATATTTCCCGAAACAAATTCTGTAATTTTTTATCACTGTAAATACGTCCGGCGATCTCCCACATTTTAATCTGTAATAAAAACGCCATTGTAAATGTTATATAGATTTTGTCTTTATTAACTGAAAATGTATGCTATGCCATTTGTTTTTATTAAGTGAAAATTACAGAGTCCAAATAACATAAAGCTGATTTCTGAAAGTTTCCATCACTCAATTTCAATTTCAGGTGTCCGGAACTTTCTACCATGTCCCATGATGGCATCAAATCACAGATTCGTTACTTTTCATAAACGTTTCAATAACAAAAACAAATTCTGGAATTTTTTATCACTGTAAATATATCCAAAGAAACCTTCAAGAGTTTTTAAGGTAGTGAGGTGAGGCGACATAGTCGCGCCGAAGCTGAAGTTGTGCTCTTGTGTTGAGTCATGATGCCATAGTATTTAAATCCTTTACAAAAATAACTTCGTGCATTTTAATCATTGTAAATAAATTCAAAGGAAGCATTCAAAAGTTTGTGGAGTAGCGAGGTGAGGCGGCGCAGCAGTCAAATCCGAAACTATGTTGTCGTGTTCGATTAAAAGATGACTTCAATATTTAAAGACTTCACGATAATAATTTCCTGCATTTCTATCATTGTAAAGAAAGCCAAAGAAACCTTTAAACGTTCTCAACGCAGCGAAATTTAGAATCGGCCCTATGCGCGCTAGCAGAGGTTGAAACCGAGGTACTTTTATAAGCACTTTTCACATCTAGTGATTTTTTTGAATTAGAATCGACAACATATTACGAGGTTCCTAGCAGAGTTCCAAACCTAGTTACTTTTCTAGGTACTTTTTCTAGAGACTTTTTGAGTTAGAATCAGCCCTATATAACGCGCTGTTAGCAATGTTTCAAACCTAGTTACTTTTCTAGTAACTTTCAAATATAGCG